AGAGCTTTGGTCTATCAGTGAGCTTGCTGCAGAGTGTTTATGAGAGCAAAATATAAGAAATACAAAACATTTTTGACAGTCTAGAAAACTTTATAAAAACAAAAGTTAATAAACCATTTTCTAAATATTTGCTGTCTTTATAAAATATATGTATTTACCTTATTAAATTTAGGAGGAAAAGGCTGAAACATTTTACCATAATCAAACATCATGAAAATAAAAAATAAATGGAATGCCCGTGGGATTGTAAAAAATTTGACTCCTTTCTTACTAATTTTAATGGAACACATCTAGGTCTTGATTACTCAAACACTGGATACCCACACTATTATGCTAACAGCAGAGACAGATATGTTATGATACAAGTTTTTTTATCCTTTAAACTGGGAACATTACATAGGATAAAATACATTGGGTGGACTTGGTGGTTAATGCCTGTAATCACAGCAATTTGGGAGGCCAAGGCAGGAGGACTGGAAGACCCTGTCTCTACAAAAAAAAAAGAAGAAAAAAAAAAAACCTTAAAAATTGTGCTGGAATAGTGGCATGCACCTGTAGTCCTAGCTACTAGGGAAAATGAGGTAGGAGAATTACTTGAGCCTAAGAGTTCAAGGCTACAGTGAACTATGATTGTGCCACTGCACTCCAACAGTAGTCACAGAGTGAGACCCTGTTTTTAAAAAAGGAAAACAAAATACTCATTGAGCCACATCATAATGTCTAACGAGTGCCAACTTTGTGACAGGGCTTGTGGTCACTGTGGTGCAACCATTATCTCATGAAATCATCACAGTGCCCTCTAGGATATTTACAAGTCTTTGAATGACTTCATGCAGCTTCCCCACTGAAGCCGGAAAGGGGGTAATGTAACTTGCCCCTTCTGGAGCCAGGCTGCCTCCCAGATCTCCTAACTGCACTAATCTAGGTTTGGGAGCTCTAAAATTTGTTTCTAATTGGTAGCAGTCTTTTGATGTATTAAGATATAGATCCTCATTATTTGTAGAATCTGAAATTGTGAGTTTACCTGCATGTTAAAATTTATTTGTAACCCCCAAATCAATTATCACAGTGCTTTCGTGGCCATTCATGGATGTTTGCACAGCTGCAAAAATTTTGGGTTGCCCAATGCTCATGTGACCACCTAGGACAGAATAAAGGTACAGTCTGTCTTCTTGTTTCAGCCCTCATACTATAAGAAAGTGCCCCTTTTATGGTATGTTTATGCCAATTTTTCCATTTTTTTTTTCTTTTTGTTGGTGACTTCACTGTTTAAAATGGCTCCCAAATTTAGTGCTGAAGTGATTTCTAGGTTCCTAAACACAATAAGGGTGTGATGTGACTCACGGAGAAAATATGTTCTCTCTACAAATTTTGAAAAACTTTGTTCAAGCATTATTTATAGTGCTTTTGGATGTTTCAGTATTAATGAATCAACATTATATATTAAATAAGATATATTTAAACAGAAACACAAAAAAAACAAAGTATATATTAATTGGTTGATAAATCAGTGTGATCAGAGGCTCACAGGAAGCTAACCTCGTGTTTCCTCTAGCGGTAATCATTCAGTATTCGCTAATTAGCATGCGTGGCAACTTTATAGAACACTGCAAATAACAAGATAAATAAACTCCTGCAAATAACAAGAATTCACTGCAACTGAAGACACTACTGCATTTGACTTTTATAATTGCCCGCTTGATGTCAGGTAATCTGATTATTCAGCCTTTGTTTTCAGATTGGATGATTAATGAAAGACCTTGAATGCCAAATTTTAAACTGATGGGAACTTTTATGAGGAAGTCATAAAGGCCTGCAATGAAAGATTTGTAATAGGAGTCATCATGAACCCCATTCTCCCAGGCAAATGAGATCAATATAATCTCACTGGTATTCAGCAGAATTCAGAGTTACTTTTTTGACTTGGAATGTGATGTCTTCCAGGGTGAAAAGAAAGAAATAGGAGTAGAAATTTGAGTAATTTCAGTTTACCATGCTTTTAAAAATGTTGACAAGGGATACTGTTATTACGATTCAAGCTAAGTTTGTCAGAAACAGTGAATTGTTACATTTAAGTCATGCTTATAAAAATCTTAGATCTCTATCTTCCTTGTAAGTTCTCGCATAAAAGGTTAATTTATTCCAATCTAGTAACTTATTAAGTACAAAAAGGGCATCTTGAGATACTACTGTAAAATAACTTTTTAAATAATAAGTAAAACTGAAAAAAAGGGAGTGTTGACCTTTCATTTCTTGCTTCATTCTTTTATGGTAAGTGTAAAAATTACTTCAAGGAAATCCTATTTCTTTCATTTGTAATCATAATTTTTTTAACAGGAAGTGCATTATTTAAAAACTTTTGATGAGTTTTTTCCTCTAAGTCAACTTATCAGAAGTACTTCGTTCCAATAATAATGAATCAGCTACAATTTATTTAAGTTTTGATACTTTTTTTTTTTTTTTTTTTTTAAAAAGCAATGATCTTAGGCCAACTTGGTCAAAGACATTGCAATTTTGAGGCAAGTACTGGGTTATTATATTAACTTGTGAGAAAGGTTAATTTAGCTATCACCAATGAGTATTTGCATTAGTACGTTCTTACGCTGCTAATAAAAATGTAGGCTGAGAGTGGGTAATTTATAAAGGAAGAGTTAAATGACCACAGTTCAGCATGACTTGGGATGCTTCAGGAAACTTACAATCATGGTAAAGTGTGAAGCAAACCACATCCTTCCTCACATGGGGAAGGATAAGCAAGGAGAATGCTGAAGCAAAAGGACGAAAAGCCCCTTGTTAACACCATCTAGATCTGTTGTGAGAACTCACTATCAGAGACCAGCATTCGGGTAACCAACCCCATGATTAAAGTTAGCTCCCACTGGGTCCCTTCTGGGACACATGGGGATTATGAGAACTACAAATGAATTTAGGTAGTGACACAGCCAAATCATATCAATATTATTCCTAAAACGTGGTGGCTCACACCTGCAATCCCAGCACTTTGGGAGGCTGAGGCGGGTAGATCACCTGCAAGTCAGGCATTCGAGACCAGCCTGGTACAACATGGCAAAACCATCTCTACTAAAAATACAAAATTAGCCAGCCGGGTATGGTAGCCATCGCCTTTAATCCCAGTTACTTGAGAGGCTGAGGCAAGAGAATCGCTTGAAACAGGAGGGCAGAGGTTGCCGTGAGCCGAGATTGGTGCAACTGCACTCAAGCCTGGCGATAGAGCAAGACTCTGTCTTAAAAAAAAAAAAAAACAACAGAACAAAACAAAACAAACAAAACTCTACAGACTGGGAAGTTCCATACCATAAGTATCCCAAATGCTATTGTAGATTATAAATTTAGACAACATTTTGTTTACTGCTTTAGTCTGTAATTATATTATAAGCACTTCCTCTGTATTAGGTGCTGAGATGGTTGTTTGTATGTATTTCTCTAATCCCTCATGTAACTACACACAATAAGTTATTATGTTGTTTATAGATTGAGGCACTGAGGTTCAGAAGGTATAAATATTTTGCTCAATTGGGTTTAGAAAATTATAATAGGATTAAAGAAAAATAATCAAATTTAGGTATAGGAAAACATACAAACCTTGCTTTTGATACTTTCTAAATATTTGTAAATAATATACTAAATTTATTTTAAGAAATGTATAACTTGTAATGACAAACATGACATAGAACAGAGTATTTCTAATTGATCTATCGTTGACTGAAGGACTTAAGAAAGCTATGTCAAGGGTCATTACCCATTCTTATTTAGGCAAGGAACTCATCACAGATGCTTCTATTCTGTTATTTTCCACCTGCTTAATTTCTGCCAACATGGTACGATGCAATGCAGGAAAACATTGTGTTAGGACTGTGGCACTCTTGAACTATTGGTCCTCCTTTAAGTGGGATTCATATGCTTTCGACAGGTTGAAAATTAAATTGCTTTATAGATGGCATCTTCAAAGTATGGTGGTAATTGTGAGTGATTGGTATCAGCAGTTTATCTTTTACAGCATCAAATAAATATGTGTTTCCTCATAAACCATAGCCTCTCTGGTTCTTGTCACTCAGGAATTCTATGGTACAAAGTATTCATCTCTTCTCCTCTCCCTATCTTTTCACTCAATAGGAAAGCGTAATCTTATTTTTATTGAGATGTATCCTCATGTACCGATTAAACAACGTATGCTTGACAAATGTACAGCTTTCATCATGTGTTCAGTGTATTCATAAGCCTGGGGCCACCATCACTGCGTGTTAGTTCGCTGACACGTTGTCATCATCCCAAAAGTATGAACCTGTAAATCTGTTACTACCTCCCCATTCACCCCTCTCTCCAGCCACTGGAAAACACCGATCTACTTTCTGTCTTTCTACATTTGCCTATTCTGGATATTTCATATAAATAGAATCATATAATATATGTCCTTTTGTGTCTGGCTTCTTTCACTTAGCACAGTGTTTCCATAGTTAATCCATATTATAGCAGGTATTAGTGCTCATTTCTTTTTATACCTGGGTAATATTCTATCATAGGGATATATATACATATATATATACACACGCACACATATATAGTACATGTATATATACACACACATATACACACATATATACACATGTGTGTGTATATATATACACACACACATACATATACACACGCGCACACACACATATATATACACACCACATTTGTTTATTCATTTGTCAGTCCATAGACATTTAGCTTGTTTCCACTTTTGGCTATTCTGAACAGTGCTACTATGAACATTTGTCTATAAGGTTTTTTTGTGAAGATATAGGTTTTCATTTTTCTTGTGTAAATAGTGTAGGTGTTTCCTCTCATATTTTCATTGCTTCCCTCAAACTCCCATCACCACCCTTAAGCTCAGAAAAGCCCAGAACATTAGGAACTTTGTACATCCTAAGAGAGCTTGATAAACACTTCTGCCACATCCTCCTAAACCTGAACTCCATTTTCCTGTCCTTTCCCAGAGCCGCCAATTGGACAGATGCACCCTCCACATGGCAGCATCACTCCTCAGAAGAACAGCAACCTGCTTGTGATCATCGTGGTCACCGTTGGTGTCATCACAGTGCTGGCAGTGGTCATCGTGGCTGTGATTTGCACCCGACGCTCTTCAGCCCAGCAGAGAAAGTAGGTAACAGCTGGTTCCCAAGAGGAAAGAAGTCATCGTCTTTGGGGTTATATTTTTGATGGCCCTCTTCCTGTGTTCTTTCATAATTCACCCCATGTCCTTATTTTCTGACCCTGGCAAAACCTTGCCTTTTTGTCTATTCCAAGCCTATCATTAAGTGAGTGAAGGCTAGACTTGCAGATATGATAACAAACAAAATCCATCTGGGACCCACTTATATTTCTGTTTGCTTTTACTGCTCTGACCACTCTCATTTTCAAGTGAGGGCAGGTGTCCCTTAGGTAACACCTAGTGAATAGGTTCCACCATGCCCCTGTTTCTGGCCTTCCCTGAAATCACGTACACAAGATTTGAGAAATACGTTTCTCTGTGTGCACTTATTGACCACTTTTTACAAGGAGCTCTGTAGGCAGTTAATCAATGCTTGGTGGATAGATGACTAAACATAGAATGCCAGACTCTGTACGGTTACAATCCTGTGGATGCTTAGTTTGGAGGCAGTAGTAAAGAAAGAAGAGAGAGTTCTGAGATTCAAAATGGTTCAAATTTATTTTCTGTGGTTAATTGTCAGAAATTAAAAAATGTTGAGGAGTTTAAGAATATTTTCATATTATGCAGCTTTAGGTTTTGGCACGTGCAGAGAATGATGCATCAAAGTACAAAGTTTAAAATGGAAAAGTGGTTTTTATTCAGCATATATCCTTGCAGCAACACCCTGTAACTGCCTGTTAGTCTGCACCAGCCAGTGCTGGGAGTCAGCAATAATCTCCCAGCCATTCTCTGCCTCTTTGCCCTTCTAGTCCTTTTAAAATTCAGCCCAATGTGTCTTTTTCAGCTACACGCTCTCACTGAGTTGACTATCTTAGGCTCTTCCATGAGTTTTAAGTTTTGGTTTTAGGTTTTTCCATTGGCCTCAGGCATGACATTACTTCTGACAGCCTGAGGTATGGGTTCATAGGCGACTGGTTTGACAACTGTATACTTTACACTTTGCTAGAAAAGATTCTTCAGCAAATAATGTTCCCCCTTCTCTGGCTAATAGCTCACACTTTCACTTTCTCTCTCTCTTTCTCTCCCTTTCTCTGACTGTCTTTCTTTAAGTCCTGTAACTCCATTTGTAGATCTCTAGTTTACCTTCCAGCACTCTGAAGTGACGTGTTTAGAAAGAGAACAGGGGAAGATACACATACTGAAAAAGTAACATGGGGTGTAGATGCAGGCTTTGTATTTAATTTATTTCTATGGCAGGACAAATTTTCTATCCAGCTGCATTTATGAGATTTGACTAGTTTGAAGCTGGTGATAGCTGGTGTGCTGGTCCATTGTGTCTAAGCAAGAAACCTGCTAGAGTGAGTTTGGTTGGGCCAGCCTCATGTGTGAGCATTCTGGGAAGTCAGAATCACTCACAGAGCTTCCACGGTGCTAGGCAGTTAATAAGGCTCTGGGGGGAAAGTAACTAATTGAGTAAGGCATTGAACAATCTGTTGGCACCACATTTTCAGGAAAGGGGTTGTGCGATCATGGAACAGTAGAACATCAAGGCAGCAGGTCTCTGAAGCAGAGTTAAGAGGGACTCACATAAAAGAAGGTGGGGAGGAGGCACCAAAATCACACCTGGACTACCATATAACTGCTTTCAAGCCATTGAAGCATTCACTAAACTAGCCAAATGTAACTAAACTATCTGGAGTTGGTTTGTTTTTGATCTGTTTTTTTCTTTTCCTTTTTTTTTTTTCCCCCTGTGTCATTTCTGTGAGAAGAATGTTCAAGCATTAGATTGACCTGATGAACTGGATTCCTGGATATATTTTGTTTCTCCACAGAGAAAACACCAGTCTTCTCAATCTGCAAAAGTGGGATTTGGTGCCATGTTGAGAAAATCTCAAATCATCTTAAATCCCACCCTAAGCACTTTGGCAAAAGCTTCAGGGCTTTATTTGGAAAAAGGAGACACTGAGCCCTGGGTATGACTTGTTTTTAAAATTAGGGACTGACTTAAAGAATAAATGGTTCTATTAATGACTGAAAATCCAAAAACAGTTAGTTTTACAGTCAGTTTGGTTTTTCTTTACTGCACTCTGAAAGTCTTTTAATAATTACCTGTGTTTCACACTTTGTTTCATATCTTTCTTTGGTAGCAGATCTGTTGGCATTCATTTTTCATCCCTTTGTGTGAATATTTTCATAGAGAGAAATAAAATGTTTCCTTCAAGTTATTTCTGAACTATCGTTTCATTTTGTTGTTTGTTCCATTGAGGACCCCTACTCCTCTGCATCACCACAATTGAGCCCTTCAGAACAAACTGGATAATGCAGGTGAAAGCAAAATCAATTCCAATCTGACACAGAAATGAGATCCCCTCCAAAGTTCTTAGAAAACTGGACTTTAACATAATTAATAAGGTGAAGTAGAAAACGCATTCATGAGCTTCTTCAGTATCTCTTTTTGGGGTTCTAGAGAATATAAATTTTTCTTTGAGTTTTGTTGGGGTACTTGAATTACATCCAAGTGAATTGAAAAAGTTATGTGGACTCTCAGTAATATCTTATTCAGGTAAGTGTTTATACATTTATAAACCTGATCCTTTTAAAAAAAAATAAATATATTTAACAATTAGGCTATCCAGTTGATTCAGAGTGGTGGGTAAGATTTCCTTTTTATTACATAAAATAGCTAATGAAAGTTAGTACACAAGTTCTAGTTCTGGGTCTACTCCTTCTTTAAATAAACTAATTATGTCACCTAAATGAAGACCCTTCATACTTGGGTGGCAATTTCTTTAAATATAATCATAATTTGGACTAAATGCTTTCTATCATTCTCTTTAGCTTTTCTTGTTGGTTGGTTGACTTGTCCAGAGCCAGGTAACAATCTTCTACTTTTAAAACAGAGAAAGTTCCCATGCAATACTTCTAATATATCGAATCGCATGGTAGCATTAAACTTTAAATTAATAGGAAATACAAATAATTTTGCATTTCTTTTCAGTTATTTATTAAACTTTTTTACCACTGTACTTTGAAGAGACCCCTTCCATAGTTTCTATTAGTGAGATTATCATATGACATCTAATACAGAAAAATTATATTTTATGAAAACTTAAGGCTGGGCACACCTGTAACCCCAGCCTTTTGGGAGGCCAAGACATGAGGATGGCTTGAGACCAGGAGCTTGAGACCAGCCTGGGCCAAATAGTGAGACCTTATCTCTAAAAAAATTTTAAATTAGCCAGATATAGTGGTGCTCACCTGTAGTCCCAGATACTCAGGAGGCTGAGGTAGAAGGATCATTTAAGTCTGGGATGTGGAGGCTGCAGCAAGCCATGATTGCATCACTGTACTCTGACCTGGGTGACAGAGTGAGACCTGTCTCAAAATAGGAAAAAAAAAAATCAAGTTGATTTTTGTCCCTGTTTCTCTGCTTTTTATAAGGCAGTAATATTTTCTTGCCCAACATACGGAACACATGTTATAAGTTAGAATTTATCCACAGATACTAAGGACAAAATATATTAAATAGAGCAAATCCAGGAGATCTAGAATGCATGGTTATTACATTTCTTTTCTTTTCTTTTCTTTTTTTGAGATGGAGTCTTGCTCTGTTGCCCAGGCTGGAGTACAGTGGCGCAATCTCGGCCCACTGCAAGCTCCGCCTCCCAGGTTCACACCATTCTCCTGCCTCAGCCTTCCAAGTAGCTGGGACTACAGGCACCCACCACCACGTCCGGCTAATTTTTGTATTTTTAGTAGAGATGGGGTTTCACCTTGTTAGCCAGGATAGTCTCGATCTCCTGACCTCATGATCCGTCCACCTCAGCCTCCCAAAGTGCTGGGATTACAGGCATGAGCCACTGCACCCCGCCTGGTTATTACATTTCTAAGGCAGTTACCTGGGTAGGTGATCTGCAGTCATGTCTGAATGCTTTAAATTTAAACATGTAAATAAAACACAAGGTGTACTTGTTAGAACCACTGGCTGGCTGAGCCTTCTATTTGACTTGACGTGTAGATAGCAAGTTTTAAAGATTAGTTTGCATTCAAATCTTGACAAAAATAATAATTTTTAGTACTGATGATGAAATGTTTAGGCTCTTAAATGAAATCTATAGTATTCTAAGTACTATAGGTCACTTTCACTGATTTTTCACTTGTTAACATTTTAGTTGTTTTTCAATATTCACCTCGTAGAGATTTGAAGTATCAGCTACCTTATAGGGCTTCAGTATATCTTAATTCCATCTCAGAATTTTTTCTGAGATATATTTGAGTATCTGAAATTTGGCCTGGGTTTCTAATACAAGCTTTTAGTTTTGTTTTTAATAGCAGTTAGTGGAATAAAAATAATCAAAATGGACAATTAGGGGCTAGAAGCCTTTGGAAAAGATTTGGAAAGAAAGCAGAGAAATGTTTATACTTATTAATGTATCTTTTTCTGATTAATTTGTAATTACTTATTCACACTCACTTCAAGCCTCCTTCCTTCCTGAAGACTTCCCCCAAACCCCTGGTGGGGCAGAATGTTCCTGCCTCAGTCCCTATCAGATGATGGGCATGTCTTAACCACTGGAATTAGTATAGCACTCTTTATTCATCTGCCTAATAAAGTTGTGAACAACTTTAGTAGACAATTCCTGTGTCCATAGTGGGAACTTAGTAATTTATTATGATGTGCCAAAATAACCTGTATGATAATAGCTGGATTTTAGAACTTGAATGGACACAGTCTTGCATAAAATAGACACTCAATCAATGTTGTTTTTTACTCATTCACTTCCCCAACATACTAATTAAAAGTGAAAAGGAAAAAAACTCCCCTTAGAGTACTAGATTATGTATAAAGTAAGGAGTGGGTAAACCAATACAGAACCAGAGAAGAAGCTTTCAGATAAATACTTGCATGTCAGTAATGGAAAGCAGTTCTTATTATTTAATTCAAGTAATTATTGTGTGCTTTATATGGGGTCTGCATCATACAAAGTAACAAATCTGATTAATGTTAACTCTCAAGCTAAAAATCTTTTTGCAATTTCCCATTGACTTCTTGATATTATTAAAAATGTATCTATTTGAGCCAAGGCCTCCTACGTTTTGGTCCCTTCTACTTTTTCATGCACACAAGTTGTCATGCCACAGTGCATGCTCCTCATTCTAACAATGCAGAAATTCCCAGGAGCCATGCCATGTTAAAATCATTTTTTAAGCTTTCAGTGCCTCCCCCCATCTTTACATTTGTAGGACTCAGCACATTTCTTGACATATAGTCAATCTTCCGTAAATATTGATTGAATAAATAAATAAGTGTTGTAAAACAATGGATGATGTTGAAGAAGTGAAGGAAATAGAGTTTGCTCCACTATCACTGAAGGAATTGAATTATCACAAAGGGAGCAGCTGGACAGCTCAATAAGACACACAGTGATCAATGCCAAGGTGAGTGGTATAGAGAGAGATGAGGGAAATGATTTAGATACGCTTAGATTACAGTGACCTGAGATGGTCAGTCTCTCCTTAAGGAGAGACTGGAAAGGAAACTTAAAGAATAAGTCATTTGTAAGTAAGTAGGATTTTGAAGGCACAGTGGGCAGAAATTAAATAAACAAAACAAAAAATAGAGCACCAGTACCTGACCATGCTGTGAAAGTTTTGCCATAATGTGAGAAGGAGAAAGCAGAGAGCCTGGGAGGGTTCTTTGCTTTGCCTTTATCAAGAATACCTGGGGTAGAAGGAGACTCTTCTATTCTAGGGCTATTTTAGAAGCAGAAAGATGACTGGTACCTGAGGGAAAAGATACATTTGGTATTTACAGAGGGGCCAAACATGTGAAATACTCTGTGTCAAATAGAAAAACTAGCTTTAAAATACAAACAAAACCAAATAATTCACTATGATAATGCTTCTTAAATTTTAGACAGATTCGCCTGGAGAGTATTAAAAGACATACTGCCCCCTGCAATCAAGTTTCTGATTCAGTGGTTCTGCAGTGGGGCCTGAGAATGTGCACTTCTAACAAGTTCCCAGGCAGTGGCAGTGCTGATGCCTCTGCTTTAGAGACCCTACTTTGGCAACCACAGCACTAGGAGCATCTGAATACACATTTTGAAGAATCTAATGGTGAGACACAGGAACCGTGGGCTGCAACAAGCAGCAGTCGTGTCAAGAACCAACAGATGGGCAGAAGGTCAGGGTGACCACTGTTCCTGTAGGTTTTAAGACAAATTTCAGACAATTTAATTATGAGCACATGTTAGTTTTATTACAAACCTGCTGTGGTAGAGGTTGGAGGGACAAAAGAAAGAGAGACTCTCCAAGGCCAAAGATTTCTCCTTTAATAAGAGATATGATAGGAAATAAAAGTGGTTAGATGGTCATGGTTAGAATAAATACAAAAAGGAAATAAAGTCTTTTTAGAGATCTTTGGCTTCCTGACTGACAGTCAGCTGGATGGTTGAGCAGTTTCTTAGAAATGGTCTTGATCTGATTAAAATCCAGCAGAAAAATGCCTATTCATTTTATGAGGAATTATAATTTCTTCCCCGGTGGAAATTATGAATCACAACATACAAAAAGGTTCTGCCAGGTTTGGAACGCTTTTAAAAACAGAAGCCATCTGGGGCTGGTTGGTACTGAAGTCATAGAAACGAGCAAATAAATGAATAAATAAAAAGGTATGCATGTAAGCAAGGGGAAACAAGAATTTGTAATTTATTGCTGGTTTCAATTTTCTCTTGACTACTTTCTTTATTCCAGGTTATTTAAATATTGAGTTAAATAAGGTATTTTTCCTGGGTATGTTTTCCTGGATTTGGGAACCGGTACTTCTCTGTGTGCAGCCATGCAGATGCTGGTGTTAAGTTACTGAGCATTTTGATCTTCTAGAAAGAGAGATTACTGGGTGAAACATCCAAGTTTGAGAATGACACTACATTTTCTATGAAGTTACCAGGAGTAGATTACACATGGAGCTGTGTGTGAGTTGCAGATCAGTTTGCTGTGGGCAAGTGAAGTATGCAGAAATGAATTCAGGGAATAAATGGTTAGCAGTGAGTTATTATCTTAGACACAGGAAAATAGTCATTTCAGACCATTGTTTTAAAACATTGTGGGGCTACCATCAGGAAATCAGCAAAGTGCAGATAGTGTTATTTTTTCTCTGCTAAAATACAAAATAGATACTAGGTCTGGGGTTCTTTATCTCCTATCCTCATCAGCATACTTCAAGAAAGACAAAAAAGAAAAAGAATGTCAGGGAAAATTCAACAAATTAACTACCAAATATTTATTAATTACCTAATATTTACAAAACTACTTATTCATCATTGGAAAACCAAAGCCACTCCAATGACTTTGCACAGGTTACAGGTGTTTTCCTGGGAGTAGCTTGTATGAACCGTTGAGCAACCATGAAGGTAGTTATTATAATAAACTGTTCACTGCAAATTAAGGAATTGGGAAGTAGATGCTTCTCTGGTCTGCTGTCAAAACTAGATTTTAACAGTTTGCATTATTTCTTTCAAGAGGTGTTATTATTTTAAAAGAAATAGAAGTTACAAGTAGAGATTTAACAGTTATAAAATGAGGGAAAGGGTCAAAAACTATTTCTGAAAAGGACCAAATAATACATTGTTTAGGATTTTTGAGCCATATAGTATCTGTCACAACTATTCAATTCTTCCATTGCAGTGCAAAAATAATTGAGCTTGGCCATGTTCCAATAAAACTTTATTTACCAAACTAGGCTGTGGGCAGATTTGGCTTGCAAACCATAGTTTACTGACCCCCTGCTGCAGGACTAACATGAACATTGTGTTACTTTATTTATCACACAGGGAACATTTAATCTCACTAGCCTCAAGAAGAGATTATCATCCCAAAAAATATATTTATGGTTGTTAAAGTTTTATTGAAGCAAATAAGAACCATGTGAAATACTTTTCCAAACTGTGTTCTTCTCCTTTCAAAGGATGTATCTCACTGTGTTTGAATCTGGACACTCAGTGATGCCAAGGCAAAAGTGTTTTATTCTCCTAAGAATGTCCTCATGCAGGCTTTTGTTTTCAACTAACAAGTTTCCCAGTTGCACATTAAATTATACAGCTGAGGTATAGACTTTCTTCTAAGCTCTCATCTTAGGTATTGGCATAAATTCTGGCCGTTTTATTTCCATTTGCCCTTTCACAGAAACTCCCTCATTTATCTCCTAAACAGATGTTGCCATCAGGTACCTTATGCCTAGCTCCAAAGATTGGCATATGGCTCCATCTAACCCATTGTCACCTTTGCATGAATCTGCAGCCACTGAAGCTGGAGTGAGGAGCTCTCTGCCAGGCAGCCGAGGCCTTGGGGATTCAGCACTGCATCTTTTATAATGTGGTGAAGCTCCAGGCAGGGGAGAGGAAAGGCAGCCAAGACAAGTCTGCCAATTCCTGGGTTTCACAAGGCTCATTCTGCGAGTCCCTTTGTTTCTTTTTCTGCTTCTAACTTGAATTGACTAATGAAAGAGAGGAAGTACCATTGAATAGAGGCTCTCACATTTGCCTTCTAACTTTGTTCCATAGGAAACGGGCCACCCACAGTGCTGGCAAAAGGAAGGGCAGCCAGAAGGACCTCCGACCCCCTGATCTTTGGATCCATCATGAAGAAATGGAGATGAAAAATATTGAAAAGCCATCTGGCACTGACCCTGCAGGAAGGGACTCTCCCATCCAAAGTTGCCAAGACCTCACACCAGTCAGCCACAGCCAGTCAGAAACCCAACTGGGAAGCAAAAGCACCTCTCATTCAGGTAATTACCTTTTCACTGGCATTAGGGAAAACATACCATTCTGAACCCAAGGGAGTTTTTCACTTATTTTATGGAAATGTCTTCCCCACTAATTTGCATGTTATTATGGGTCATTTATCAATAGTTAAAAGAATCTAATATAAATTTGATTAACCAATTATATGTCTTTCTTCATCATCCTGTGGCTTGATATAATTTTAATCATTCTTTTATAATTTTAATAATTCTTGAACTTTCTAAGGTTGGAAGTAGGACAGTTGGGAAATACAGAAATTTGAATCCTAAATGGATTGATTGCTTTTTGTTAATTGTTAAACAAATGTTTTGTTGAGGCAATACAATTTGAAGCCATCTGTACATTTTCCAGTTCCTTATTTCTATAGATAATTGAAAGTTAATTCTAAATTTGCTGTCAAGTCCCTGTTTTAAAAATTACATCAGGGCACTTGAAGTACAAAACACTGAATATTCTGTTACTTTGACCTTGGTTACTATGGAAATCAACTGTCATCCACATATAGTCACCTTATGTGATTCCCAGACTAGTTTGATGGGATTCTGTCTGAAAACTATGTTGTTATACACAGGGATCTGAAAAAAAGAAAAAAAAAAGCCTACTGTTCAACGAACTGGTGCAGAACAATCACTGGTGTCCAGGGATAAGTAAGAACACTGGAAAATGATTGTAAGATAGTTCACTTTCTCTGGGTCTTCATATTATCTAAGTACTTATGGGAATCATCAACCAAATACTCTCATCAAAAAATCCCTTGGTCTACTCATGATGTGATTATAGAATGAGGAGCTGCTGTTTTTAAAGTGAATTATTTGAATGTGTTACTGGTTTACTGGACTCTGTCAGCTCAGAATTGCATAAACAAGACATACAAATATTAATTGTTAACCCTGGATTGTTGAATATTTCTTTTCAAACTCTTAAATGATGTCTTAGGCATCTTTAATTTCCTTGTCACTTCAGTTATTGAAGAACAGTCTAGTTCCATTGAAAACTATAATCTGAAATTTAACTAAAGATTCTCCTTTCTCATGCCCAGCTAGATATTTGGCTCTGGGGACTGGGGAAGAATTTGTTTTCTCAATCCTCCAGTACATTGGAGTGAAATGGAGTGGTGGGGTTGAGAAGAAGCGGGAACAAAGTCTGTTTCAGAAACACCCTTACATATTTTCCCCTCCTCTCCACTTTTCCTGAGCATGTGAGAGAAGAGGGATGGAGTGAAGAGGGGAGGGGAGGAGAAAGAGAAGAAAGGACAATTTGAAGTTCTTCACAGCTTTTGTGGACACATGGGCTAACCCCTAGGTGGTATCCAAATTCTGGGTCTGTTATGAAACAGAAGTATGACTTCTTTATGGCAGGGGTACTCAACCCCTGGACCATGGACCAGTACTGGTTCATGGCCTATTAGGAACTGGGTCACACAGCAGGAGGTGAGCAACGGGCAAAAGAGCAAAGCTTCATCTGTATTTACAGCCATTGCTTATCACTTCCATTACTTCCTGAGTTCCGCCTCCTGTCAGACCAGCAGCAGCATTGGATTCTTATAGGAGCATGAACCCTATTATGAACTACGCATGTGAGGGATCTAGGTTGCAGGCTCCTTATGAGAATCTAATGCCTGATGATCTGTCACTGTCTCCCATCACCCCCAAATGGGACCATCTAGTTGCAGGAAAACAAGCTGGTGTTCTCCTGGTGAGTTGTATAATTATTCCATTATATATTAAAATGTAATAATAATAGAAATAAAGTGCATAGTAAAAGTAATATGCTTGAATCATCCTGAAACCATGCTCTGCCCCCTGCCCCCAGGTCCATGAAAAAATTGTCTTCCATGAAACTGGTCCATGGTACCAAAAAGGTTGGTAACCGCTGCTTTGTGGGGCCTTGTACACCAGGCCCAGTTCCATAATGGGAGACATCAAGTCCAGGTCTACCACCTAGCACAGCTCTTCCTCTTCCCTCATGAGGCCTCTGGGAAATTCCAGCAAGGGGACTCAAGCCCAGCCAACTTTTCACACGCCCACTTGGCCCACAAGAATCTCCTATATCCTTGCCAGGCCCAATGGTGAGAGAGCTTGTACTCTACCACTGGCCCTCTCTAAACCTTGCTCTCTTCAATTACTTTTTCCTCTGCTCTGATAGACTCAGGGTAGAATACCAAGTCCGCTGCCTAAACAGGCTTTCACCTGGGGAGTGACAGAAAAATCCCTTTTGCAGGAACCTCCATATTTTTACAAGTGATTCTTCTTCTAGCTTTGTTCTTGACTGGATATGAGGAAGGGGAGAACACCTCCACCTCTTACTGGAAGGGATAGAATTGCCTCTCTGACCTAAGGAGGTTTTGCCAATGACTTCTAAGACACATCCTTCTAACCTTTTCCTTTCGTCTTTTATACACTGAGATGACATTAAGTTGATGTCTCTTAATAAGTCCTGGAGGAAGGTTTAATCCCAAATGATGACTGTTTTCTTTAGAATAAAAGGGTACTTATGCCTGTTTGTCCTCAATTTGAGGACCTCATTGCCAATTTTGTAATAACAGGAAAGTAATCCTCTAAGTCCTGCAAGTTATACTTCATGTTAAATTAAGTATTCTTCTCTCCTGCTTAAAAGAACAAAATTCAACATAAGTGCACAGCATTACCAAGAAACATTATATTTAACAATGGGATTCCAGAGTAGGCAATAACTATGTAAGGAGAGATTACTGTATGTTAAATTCTATGATTAGGACTTTTGCACATTATTTTGCCTAATCTTCACAAAATACTTTGAGGTAGATGCTGTAACATTCTTTTCATATAGTAAATGAAGTAACCAAAGTTGAGAAAGGTTAAATAATGTGCTTAGACTTAAGAGCTAGGGCCACAGCCAGGACCAAAATCTGACTCCAAAATTCATGTTTTGTTAATCCAGTTTCAATTAACTCATGTAATACTTTTAAGTAAGCACTTATCTTGTTTTGTGCCCATGAAATTAGTTTTTTGGATACAACCAGAAATTAATTTACAGTATTCATACTTTAGCTATGAAAAGAGAACTGAAACAAGCAATTGCTATGTAAACAACAACTAATATTATTGAGAGTTAATTTTTTATTTTACTCATTCTTCTCTACTGCTGGTATGCAAGTGGCTTAAACAAAACCTACTTCATTCTCTAACCACAAAAATATAGGATCCCACTAAAATATCTAGGAATTAAGATGATAAGTCATTGCTTCATGATATATCTCTTCTACATCTAGTAGATTTCAAAATTATTTTCTTAAAAGTTTACAGTAAAGAAACGCAAGAGTTCAGGTCTGTTTGATCTCTAGGACTTATAAATAGAATTTACTTTCTTGAAATGAATTTATCCTAGTATAATTTCACTACAACAACACCACAGGATTTGTTTCTTACTTTCACTTTGGAAGAATGAACAGGTAAATTTCAGCATATGGCATTTGATAGTATTCAATTTTTAAAAATGTTCAACTCAGTGAATAATATCTATAAAAGAGCTACATAACGCCAAATGGGCAATTTGATTGAACACTTAACTTTTTATTAGTTACTTTGATTTATATACATGTCTATTAAATCCTGTATTTAACTTTCCCAACCTCATTTGGACCAATGGTAAATAATGTCAGGTGGCAAGTTTATGAGACAAATCACAAAGTGTTACTACCAAAAAATTTATGCTTCAAAGAAAGTAAAAGGAAAATAATTTTGTTTAAGTTTTCAATGAACTCATGTAATATCAAGAGCAGTCTATTCTTAGAATGAAAAAAAATACAAAACTGAAACCCCACACACAGACACCCAACAATATCAGATGACTTACTTCATAACGATGTTACCGCCAGAAGCGGTGGCTCACACCTGTAATCCCAGCACTTTGGGAGGCCGAGGTGGGCAGATCACCTGAGGTTGGGAGCTTGAGATGACCCTGACCAACATGGAGAACCCTCTCTAGTAAAAATACAAAATTAACCAGGCGTGGTGGTACATGCTTGTAATCCCAGCTACTCGGGAGGCTGAGGCAGGAGAATTGCTTGAACCTGGGAGGCAGAGGTTGCGGTGAGCCGATATTGCACCACTGCACTCCAGCTTGGGCGACAAGAGTGAAACTCCATCTGAAAAAAAAAAAAAAAAAAAAAAAAAAAAAAAAAAAAAAAAAAAAAAAACATAAAAGAAAAGAAAAAGAAAACTGGTTGGATCTAGAGTTACATTTTTTGGGTGGCAAGGAGAAGCACATTATATAGTGTTTTAATGTTTTCTCCTACTGTCAAACATAATTTTGAAAATTAAAGAGGAGGAAAGTCTGTTGTATTTAATTGATATTTTCACTCTTTCTGTTCATTCTTTTTGATTATCTGAGATTCCTCTTACTACTTCCTGTCTGTTTAGAGAAATTCCATTACCTATTTTTTGATGATTTATCTGCTTGAGACAAATTCTCTTCATTTTCCTTCATTGGACAATGACTTGATTTCACCTTCATTCTTGAAGTATATTTTTGTTAGATATTGTTAATCCAACTCTGGTTTGGCAGTTCTCTTTTAGCACTTGAAAAATGTGTTAGATACTTCTGGCCTTCGTGATTACTGATGAGAAATCTGCTGTCTTTTGAATTGTTTTACCCATACAAGTTGTTTACCTCTCACTACTTCCAATATTTTTTGTTGTTCTTGTCTTTAGTTTTAAGAAGCTGAACTGTGATGTGTCTGGTGTGGATTTCTTTGGTTTTATCCTGTTTTGGGGTTGCTGAATTTCTTGAAACTGTAACGTTTATTTATGTCTTTTGTCAAATTTTGGAAATATTGGCCCATAATTCTTTAAATATTTTTAGTTTCACACTCTTTTTCCTCTTTTATTGACTCTTTGGACACTATAATTTTTCCCAAAAAGTGCTGCTTTCCTTTTCTTTTAAAATTAATTAATTAATTAATTTGGAGATGGCGTCTCACTCTGTTGCCCAGACTGGAGTGCAGTAGTGCAAACTTGGCTCACTGCAACCTCGGCTCACTGCAACCTCCGCCTCCCGGGTTTAAACGATTCTCCTGCCTCAGTCTCCTGAGTAGCTGGGACTACAGGCACACGCTACCACTCCTGGCTGATTTTTTGTATTTTTAGTAGAGACAGGGTTTCACCATGTTAGCCAGGATGGTCTCGATCTCTTGACCTCATGATCTGCCCGCCTAGGCCTCCCAAAGTGCTGGGAATACAGGCATGAGCCACCATGCCTGGCCAAAGCGATGCTTTTCTAAAGTTGCCATTTTATTTCTTTTAGTTTATTTCCTTTTTAGAGATGGGGTCTCACTCTGTTGCCCAGACTGGTCTCAAAACAGTCTCCTGCCTTGGCCTCTGTAACAGCTGCAATCACAGGCATGAGCTACACACGCATGAGCTACACACGCAGAGCATTTAAAACCCACACACTTTTAAATGCTCTGGTCTCCTAGGAAACTTTTTCAATATTTTTACCATTAGGGTGTACTTCTTTGGTAGATGGTTTCTGGTCAATCTTGTGATCCTTATTCCCCTCTTCTCTCTTCTATACAGACTTTCCAGATAGCCAGCTTTTCACCAAGACTTTGTGGCTATAGCTTGAGAAATAGCTTTGCTAGAAAGTATTATTTCCTTTGTACTTACAGGAAATTTGAAATGTATCTTCTTTTCCGTTTTGTGATTCTGCTGAAGGAATAATATTTGCATAGTTCATTTTTTATTATTTTTATTTTTGATACTGAGTCTCTCTCTGTCACTGAGGCTGGAGTGCAGTGGCACAATCTCAGCTCATTGCAACCTCCGCCTCCTGAGTTCAAGTGATTCTTCTGCCTCAGCCTTCTGGGTAGCTGGAACTACAGGGAGCCACCATCACACCCAGCTCATTTTGGTATTTTTAGTAGAGATGGAGTTTCACCATTTTGGCCAGGTTAGTCTCGAACTCCTGACCTCCAGTGATCCTCCCGCCTCAGCTTCCCAAAGTTGTAGGATTACAGGCATGAGCCACCATGCCTGGCCAGGTTTGCAATCTGTTTTATATGATTCTGTGTAGTTTTTGTAGGGTGTGTGGACATAGTTCAATTTTGGAAGCTTCCATGACTTCACCTATGTGGAAGCTTCTCCCAGTATAATTTTTTATTTTAAATTGTATTAATTATGCTGTTAATTTTTTTAAAAAATGCATGCATGTGATAAAAAATAAAAAAAACAAAAAACGTTTCAAAAAATAGTAAGTACCCAAAATAGTAAAACGTATGTTTGCCTCTTCCCCATCCCAAATTCCTATTCCCTTTCACAAAAGGAAAACAACATTAAAAATTTTGTATATAATCTTATTACATAGATATAAGTGTGTATTTATAAATATATATATTCACATACACATAGAAGTGTATGTCACAATATGGTTTTATATGCATACTATACAAATGGGAACATATACTATTCAGAACTTCAGTTTTTTTAATATGTATTATAATTAACTTCAAATCTGCATATATCCATTTTTCTAATTCTTAGTGACTCTTTAGTATGACATTTTATGGAATCCTAATAAATTTATGTAAATATGTCTGCTCTTATTTGAAGAATGTAGTTTATTTCTTGTGGGCTTTTTGTAATGAAATTTAATATGGTTGGGCTTAAAGTGTTAGTTGAATGAATTATAGTAAATTAATATAGTGGAATATTACATAGCTATTAAAAATTATACTAACTTATTAACAGAGAAATATTTTTGTGTTACCTTTTAAAGCAGGTTACAAAAAGTATGCATAATGCCATTTTTGAAAAATATATTAACGTATGCCCTCCCACTTTCACATATATAAACATATGCAAAAATTATAAGCATCAAAATATAAATAATGGTTTATTGTGTGCAATGAGTTTAGAGTTTATGGTTAATTTCATTAAGATTTATACAATGAAATATATTCAGGTAACAAGAAGGCAGATATTATCATAGAAAACATCTGTAAGACTAAAAAGGCATTGGAATGGCTGCTAGAAATTGTGTAAAGTGTTGCATTCTTGAAGAGGGCATGTTTCTCAGGAGTGTATATTTTTTAGGTCAAGACACTGAGGAAGCAGGGAGCTCTATGTCCACTCTGGAGAGGTCACTGGCTGCACGCCGAGCCCCCCGGGCCAAGCTCATGATTCCCATGGATGCCCAGTCCAACAATCCTGGTGAGTCAATATTGATGCCACAATGAAGAGATGAAATGCTTTCTATATGTATCTTTTCTATAAAACATCAAATTATCAAAAGTAATTAGAATTTTCCCTGAACTTTCTGGGCAAATGGAAATGAGGAATGCCTAAAACCACGTCATTAATAATTTGAAGTCCAAGTCTTCATTCTGTTACTGTATTTTTTGTATACAATCAAATGATCTGTTGGCAAACAGATGGTTATATATTTAAGACATTGTTTGTAAAATATACGAATTTACAAAAAAGAGCTGATATATATTTTAATATTATTGATCTTATTCCAATAATCATCTCCATAGTTTATTTATTTACTTTTTGAGACAGAATCTTGCTGTGTTGCCCAGGTTGGAGTGCAGTGGCATGATCTTGGCTCACTGCAACTTCCACCTCCCAGATTCAAGCGATTCTCATGCCTCAGTCTTCCAAGAAGCTAGAACTACAGGTGTGCACAACCATGCCCAGCTAATTTTTGTATTATTAGTACAGACAGGGTTTTACCATGTTGGCCAAGCTGATCTCTAGCTCCTGACCTCATGTGATCTGTCTTCTTCAGCCTCCCAAAGTGCTGGGAATATAGGCATAAGCTACTGTGCCCATCCTCCATAGCTTTTTAAATAAACTTTTTAATGTGTCTAATTCTCACACTTAAATAATCCAGCTCCTTTTTTTTTTTTTCTTTTTTTTTGAGATGGAGTCTTGCTCTGTCGCCCGGGCTGGAGTGCAGTGGCCGGATCTCAACTCACTGCAAGCTCCGACTCCCAGATTTATGCCATTCTCCTGCCTCAGCCTCCCATGTAGCTGGGACTACAGGTGCCCGCCACCTCGCCCGGCTAGTTTTTTGTATTTTTTAGTAGAGACGGGGTTTCACCGTATTAGCCAGGATGGTGTCGATCTCCTGACCTCGTGATCCGCCCGTCTCGGCCTCCCAAAGTGCTGGGATTACAGGCTTGAGCCACTGCGCCCGGCCAATCCAGCTCCTTTAAAGCAGATGTTGACAGACACCCACTTACTACACCTCCCTTGTTGAAGTTTTCTGTCATCCTCCCACATTCACTGAAGATATTATTATCTGGGAATCACTTCCTTTCCAATTACTTCTATGCTCAGTCGTGGTAATTACAGTATTTGTGCAGATAATCCATCTGATACTCTAGATGGTTAGTTCCTCTATGTTACCTGCAAAGATATTGATTCCTTCCCACTTTAATTCATAAATTCCATGTCACACCAAATCAAACCAGTACAAAATGTCAGTTCCTGTTACCTTATTTGCTACCTGCTCACTTACTTTATTGCCCCCTTGACATCAAGTCTTCAATCCCACCAGGACCTCCAATCCATCAACTCTGCCATTTCCTCCCATCCTTCATCCACCTTGTGTCCTCATTTATCTGCAAGCTCAATTTAGGTTTTATAGTCACTTATTTTCAGTCTCATCTCCCTTTATCCTCCTTCCCCATCTTACTCACCTGAAAAAAAAAAAAAACCTGGTTAAATAAGCAGCTCCCCAATTCTTACCCCTTTCCCTAATAGCGAAATGTATCTGGAGAAAAACATACAGCCTGCTTACTGAGTATTTATGATCAGAAGTCCAAGGTGAGCTCTCACTATTTGAAAATGACACTGTATTTCTCTAGTGGTTCATAATTACACTTTACAAGATGAATGTCTTATATGTATTCTTACTTTTCAGATTTCAATATCTCCTTCTTTCCCTATGCTTAGCAAAAAATCTTAGGGAGAAAAATGCATTCAGAAAGTGGTATCCTTGTCCTTCCATCAAATCTAATTGATCTGTTAGTGCTGCTCTCTGAGTATCTTGTTGAAATCCCCCCTCACCCATTTAGGGACTCTTCTGTAATTACCCCTTCCCTTTCCTACATTGTCAGTTTTTCTTCCTTATTTATCACTGCAGTAAACACACAAATATTAATATTCTCTCATAACTCCTGTTTTGTAACACTCAATGCCACTTCCACCTCCAATTAAAACCATATTTACTGAAAAAATTTTAAAATTATCTGTACTAACTTTCTTTTCTTTCTAAGCTTTCTTATTAGTTTTAATAAGATTTTTACAGTCACTCTCCACTGAATCCATGATTGCCAAGGTTATCAATAATCTCCACATTATCAAATTCAACAGTCAAGTCACAGACTCTCAGAAACAATTGGCATAGGTTCTCACTTATTTCCCTGAAACACTTTCTCACTTTGGCATGTAGTGTACTAGATGCCCCTGGTTTTCTTCCTACCCTTCTGACTGCTCCTCCTCAGTATCCTTCACTTATTTCTCTTCTTCTTCCTGATATCTAAGAGTCAGAGAATGCCCCAAGGGTCAGTCTTCAGGCATCCTCTCTTTTCTCCCTACACCTGCTTCTTAGATAATGTCACCTAGTATCAGTGGCCTTAAATATTATTAAAATGCTAATGAATCCTGGTTGACATTATCCTGAGGCAGGATCTCTAGGGCAAGGACAAAATGCCACCAGTCTCTTTGCTAAAGCATAGAAAGAGTCTCCTTTGCTCCATTTCCCAATAATTTCCTCATCGCCATCTGGGGACACCTCAGCCTGGGCTTCATTGTCCGTGTCACTACAAGCATTTTGGTCAAAACTGTTCATCAAGTCTCTAGGCAATTCCAAACTTTCCCACATCTTCCTGTCTTCTTCTTAGCCCTCCAAATTGTTCCAACCTCTGACCATTACCCAGTTCCAAAGTCACGTCCACATTTTCAGATTATCTTTATATTAGTGCCACACTCTTTGTGGTACCAATTTACTGTATTAGTCCATTTTTACACTGCTATAAAGATACTACCTGAGACTCAGTAATTCAAAAACATAGGAGGTTTAATTGACTAACAGTTGCGCATGGATGGGGAGGCCTCGTGAAACTCAGAATCATGGTGGAAGGTGAAGAAGAGACAAGTACCTTCTTCACAAGCCAGCAGGAAAGAGAGAGAGAGAGAACGAAGGGAGAAAAGCCCCTTATAAAACCACCAGATCTCATGAGAACTCACTCACCATCATGAGGAGCATGGGGGGAACTGCCCCAATGAGTCAGTCACCTCCCACTTTGTCCCTGTCTTGTCACAGGGGGAAATACAATTCGAGATGAGATTTGGGTGGGGACACAGAGCCAGATTATATTAATCAACTTACTCTGTTCAGAAACTCTAGTTTCATGCCTCTTTATTCTGATTTCCTTATACCCTAAATTCAATCTTTTACCAAATTATTGTTTTCAAAACATTTCCCAAATTTGACCACTCTTTTCCATCTTCACTGTTTTGCCCTTATCCAAGCTACCATCATCTCTTACAGATTACTAGACTACAGCAATAAGTGTGTAACTAGCCTCTTCTTTAGCTTTTTGGAAAAAAAAACTATTCATAATTTTTGTGGGTACATAGTAGGTGTATATATTTATGGGGTACATAAGATGTTTTGATACAAGCATGCAATATGTAGTAATCACATCGTGGAGAATGTGTTATCCATCCATGCAAGTGTTTATCATTTTTGTTAAAAAAAATCCAATTATACTCTTAGTTATTTTTAAATGTACAATAAGTTATTATTGACTACAGTCACCCTATTGTGCTATCAAATAGTAGGCCTTATTCATTCTTTCTATTTTTTGTACCCATTAATCTTCATTAGCTTTTGCCCTTACAGTTAATTGTCTACACAGCTGTCTCTCAATATGTAAATTAGATAATATTGTTCCTCTGTGACTTCCATCACATGTAGAAACAAAATCCACAAATGTCCTACAAGGTCCCATGTGATTTAGTCTCTGGGTTTATCCCTCACTTTATCTCCTATTGCTCCTTTCTGTAATTCATTACAATCACATAACCTTCATCTGTGTTCCTTGGATAATAGGCACATCTCAGTTCAAGGACTCTGCACTTGCTGTAGTCTTTGTCTGGAATCTCTTTTTGTAGATATTTACATGTCTTATCCCCCATTTCTTTCAGGTCTCCATTCAACTGCCAACTTCTTAAGCAAGTCTTCCGTGACCATTGCCTAACATAGCATCTCTGGTCACTCCCTACTTTTCTATTATGCTTCATTTTTCTTTATTAATGCATTACACTATTCTATTTGTGGTTTTGTGTTTGTTATTTATTTGCCTCCTGTTTTTTAATATAATCTTTATAGGGGCAAGGATTTTGCCTATTTTGGTCATTTTGTGTCCCAAATACCCAGAACAGCACCTGGCACATGATAGGCACACAGTCAATACCATTTAGTCAAATGAATAAATTCATAGTTGTTTCTTTTTATCTACCATAGGCCACATCCTCCCTATGCTCCATTACATCTTCTCTCAATTTTACTATAATTAATGCAAAAACTTACATGGCATTTATAGTGAATGCCAACTGTTCAAGTCATGTAGTAAGCCCTATTATTATGCTTCTCATTGTTAGGTTCTCTCATTTACTAGTGAGAGAAGAAAGGCTTGGAGAGTTTAAGTAATTAGCTGGCAGTCACACAGCTAGTACGTGCTATAGCCAGAATTTGGACCCAGAAGTTCTGATTTCAGAGTTCAGCGTTCTTAATCACTATGCTCCTAGCTGTCATACCCTATGAAGCTATTGTCCTTTTTCTTTTATACCTTTCACTACTGAGAAAGATACTGTGTACTTAGTTGCCTTTTTTTCCCTCTAGCTGCTTTCCTCTTACTAAGTTCTATCTGTGCCAATCATGTATTGCTTTCTTCTCAAAAATTATTGTACTTTAAAATCTGTGGAGCTTTCCTATCCCATCTAATTAGAAGTAGCTTCCTCATATAATAAGTTCCCATATGCCATTGCATTTTCTTTCACAGTATCTTTGAATCCCTGGCTATCCTCCTATTCTCAACTCTTTTATGCCTTCTTTGTGACTTCACCTCTAAACTACCAAGACAGCTTCCTAGCTAAGTCTTTCTGGCTCTAGCATCTTCCAGATTCTTAGGCAT